AGATTGGCAGCTGCTGCTTGCCCAGACGGGGTCGTTGGTTCTGTCCAGTCGGGTCTGTGGTTCTGTCCAGTCAGGTCGGGTCTGTGGTTCTGTCCAGTCGGGTCTGTGGTTCTGTCCAGCCAGGTCGGGTCTGTGGTTCTGCCCAGATTGGGTCTGTGGTTCTGCCCAGATTGGGTCGGTGGTTCTGCCCAGATTGGGTCGGTGGTTCTGCCCAGTCGGGTCTGTGGTTCTGCCCAGATTGGGTCGGTGGTTCTGCCCAGCAGGCAGGCTCAGGGGGACAGACGGATCGCAGCTTCAGAGCTGAGCCCAGCCGAGGTCCCGGGGCCGTTCCCCGGTGCTGCGGGCAGGGCAGAGCGCAGGGAGGCGGTGGGGTCGGCCCCACGGCTGTGCTCGGGCTCAGGAGCTGTTTCCCCGCCTGATCCCGTGCAGGGGGACCCCGCAGCCGGTGGAAAGGCCGGGGGATCCTCCCGGAGCCAGCCCCGCTCGGGGAACACTCGCCATCCCTGGGGCCGGGATGGGCCGGGGCTCCCGCTCGGTCCCCGCTGTCCCGGGATGCGATGCTCGGCTCCCAGGCTGGCACTGAGACGTCACCTTTGCTTTTCCATCAGCGCAGGTGGAGGCTGCGAGTGTCTCCTTCCTCGCACAGCCCGCTTCCCATGCAGGCTTTGCATTTGATTTTTTTTTCGCCCAAGAAACCTTTTCCTGTTATCGTAACGTAACCAGATGGGGAGGGCTCAGTGGAAATACCTCGGGAGAGGCTGGCAGAGCAGCGGCTCCAGGAAGCAGATCCTCCCCGTAATATTGGCACGGTTTGGTAAGTTCCATCTGAAAAATAAAAAGCTGCTCCGTTTGCTGAGTCACAGCCGCTCGGAGCTGGAGCCGTGACAAGCGCAGCGCGCTGCCGGAGTTGGAGCAGGGCTGAGCCGCGGCGCTCCAGGAGCCTGCCCAGGGGCTTTTCTCGCCCGAGACGATCTTTTAAACCTCGGTCGAGTGCTCTGTAAGTCGGGCTCCTCCGCGGGAACGTGCGGCGGCACTGCTGCCTCGCAGCGCGGGGCTGGCACGGCCGTGCCGGGAGATGCGGGCGCATCCCGGGGCGAGGGCACGGAGCGGGCTCGGTGTGCGGGAGCGAGCCTGAGCGGGAGCGAGCCTGTGCGGGAGCGAGCCTGAGCGGGCGCGAGCTCGGTGTGCGGGAGCGAGCCTGAGCGGGAGCGAGCCTGAGCGGGAGCGAGCTCGGTGTGCGGGAGCGAGCCTGAGCGGGCCGGCAATGTACGGAGCGGCCGGGGACCGATGCCTGGTGCCAGGGACAGTTCTGCCGGGCCGTGACGGTGCCGGGCCGGGCCTTGCCGGGCCTGTGCCGGGCCTGTGCCGGTTCTGTACCGTGCCTGTACCGTGCCTGTACCGGGCCTGTACCGGGCCTGTACCGGGCCTGTACCGTGCCGGTGTCAGGGGCAGTTGTGCCGGGGCCGTGCCGGGTCTGGCGGAGCTCCGCGCCGCAGGCAGCGCAGCCGAGGCTGTACCGGAGCTGTTCCCGGCTCTCATCCCCAGCACAAACCCTCCACAGCCGAGGCTGTACCGGAGCTGTTCCCGGCTCTCATCCCCAGCACAAACCCCTCAGCCGAGGCCTGGCTGCTGCAGCCTTTGCCCGGGGCTCCTGCTGCAGTGACAGCCCGGCCCGCACCTCCGTGCTCTGCTCGGGGCTCCTCCTTTCCTGCAGCTCCTTCATCTCCTGGAGCCCGCAGATCCGGCTGTCACATCCCGAGGAATCGGTACGAGGAGGAGGGAGCTGGGATTGCTGAGGGAAAGGCAGAGGGTTCCCGTGCAGGAGAGAGGCTGCAGGTAGAACGGGACACGGGAGCATTTCCTGAGCACCGCTAAAATGTAACATTTGACACTTGAAAGTAATTCTAGTTCTGTTGAAATGCTGCCAGATATGTATTATCTAGACAGAAAAACGCTCTTGGGCTGCTATTTCCAGTGTATTTGTGGTCATTTCAATTGCAGATTTGTTTTTTAAAGACAATCTGAAGTTGTTATTATTGTTAGACATGTTTTCCTTGCGCTTTTTAATAAGCTTTTAAAGAGTTCTAAAAACTGGGTGTCTTTAGGAGCTGTGATGTCGCTGATCCATGGGCAGTCAGCCCATCTCCATCTGCCTGACCATGGCAGGTCACTGTGGCCTGAGCTGACATCCCCGGGGATGGAGCTGAATCATGGACTCACAGAATCACAGAATTGATAAGGCTGAAAAAGAAACCCTTGGTGATCATCAGATGCAACTACTGCCCCACACCACCTCCATGTTCACCTCTCAGCCGTGTCCCTAAGTGCCACATCTGCATTTTTGGAACACTCCCAGGGATGGTGTCTCCATCACTGCCCTTGGCAGGACTGGACAACCCCTTCTGTGTAGAAATTTCCCCTGATCTCCAACCTAAACCTCCCCCGGTGCCACTTGAGGCTGCAGAATTCAGCTGGGGCCTCTCCTCCCCTTGTCCCCACTCCTGAGCCTCTGGGCTCGTTCCCTCTCCTGGTGGCCCAGCAGGGCTGTCCCAGGCTGTGTCACCGGCGCTGTCCCGCTCCGCTGGCTCTGCACCACCAACACCAGAGCAGGAGCTGTGATCTCAGTCCAGAAATAAATAACTGAGAAGGACAAGAGTCTCCTCCAAGGGCAGAGTGCAGAGACCTGGCTGTGCCCGTGCTGGCCTGCTCTGCCTGCTGCAGCTGGGCTGAGCTGGGCTGAGCTGGGCTGGGCTGGGCTGAGCTGGGCTGGGCTGGGCTGGGCTGGGCTGGGCTGAGCTGGGCTGAGCTGGGCTGAGCTGGGCTGGGATGGTCTGGGCCGCGCGGTGCTGC